GCATTTTAAAGCTGTTTCCACCATGTGAGAATACACAAGCAAGACAAGACTCTGCATTGCAAGACTTACAGGCTTTGTGAGGGAAACCAACATTTAGTGCAGGACTACTTATGTCACTTTTATTGGTGTCTGCTGGCTTTTACTGCTGTTTGTTCAGCGGGAAGCATGTTTTGTGTTCCAGCACAGCTCAGGCAGCCAAATAATTCTGTGTCCCAGCATGCTCAGCCAGTGCTGTTTACATGCTGATGTTACTTAAGCAGTGGAGAGGACACTAAAATTATGGCATCTTCATCATTAATTCAGGGCTTAGTACTGGACTCCCTAAGTAGAGAGCCAGAAAAACCTGAGGTCTTTCGCAGATTTTATTGCCACTACATCTTTGCCCTCTGGTAGCCATTGCCACCCATCTGTTTCTTCTCTCCTCTGGACTTGCAGGCTGCTGTGTGCAATGCAACCCGCTGTGCGTTAACTCCCATATGTAAAACATGGCTGCAAGCAGTGAGCACCGGAGTTCTGATCATTAAAAGGCCAAATGATGTTTGCTACCCATATATATGCCTTCTTCTTAGGAGCTGGGAAAAGCAAGGGGTTATTTGAACCTATAGAGTGTTCTTATTCTATGTTCTGGCTAAGGACATGTTGTAAGCTGTGGCATCTGCTCTTTCCAGATGCAGTATAAAGCAGGATTAAGATAGATTTGTGTTGGAATATCTATGAAAGAATGTTCTGCTGCTAAAGTATTTATGTAAAATATACAGCTTTGATAATTAACCCTAAGACCTTTTCATAGAATAAGCCAAGAAAAGTGTTAATTGTTTTATTTCTGCCAACTTCCAAAAACAAACAAAAAGATCCATTCTGGCCAGGTGCTGTCGTTGCCAAATACACGTTTCAGTTAAACATTGCTGTGTTTACATTTCTAGATAATAAAATTCTTTGGTTTATGGACTGCCAGAAGATAGAAAGCTGAGATTAAAGTCTCAGATTTGGTTGGGTTTGTTGTAAAGTGAAGGTAACCATGAAACAACAGCTATTTGATAAATTCTGAGTTATTAGTGTGCTTTAGAGAGGATGGTGCTTTTGTCAGCCTTGCTGTCTTGATAACATGTCGGAGTACGTGGTCGCTATTAAATCTTCTCACTAGTTTGATGGAGGGTAAAGATTAGTACTTCTGTAGGTAAGGAGCATGTTCAGCATTGACAGTGACAGAATATGTCAGCCCGCTTCGATTTCCACCTTCTGGAGATTTCAGAAAGTCTGCAAAGGTAAGTATACCTTTGTAAGAAAGTATAGCCAGGCAACGAGTGCAGCGTGCAGGGCTGTGTCTGTAATGAATTCTTACCGTGCAGTCACCTCAGTGTCCAGAACTCCAGTGTTTGTCAGTTCACACTGGAGTGAGACGTTAATAGTCTTTTTCTTCTTTCTTTTTTTAAATATTTCCACCTCATTTTTGATAAAGTTGGCTGTAAAACCTTTTGAGAGAATATTTAGTGAGTTATTTAGGATATTCATGTTGCCTTCATTAGCCCGGTATCCCATCATTTCAACATCTGCATGCAGCACTTCACAATATACACGAGCTGCTATTACCCCAGCGTACAGAGGAGAAACTCAGAGTGACAGAAGCCATTGGCACAGGGTTTTAGGAAGCCTAGAAGGACTCTGTCACTGACCCACCCTTTCAGGGGCTCAGCCTATGGCGATGCATACAGGCCCCCCAGTCCCCTGGTAGCAGGATGCCCACGTGTCCCGTCTGCCAGCACGGCCCATGTTTGTAGAGCTCCTTGTCCCTCTGGGTGAAGCCAGGCTGGTGATGGCTGTGAGGAGCAGTGGCAGCCAGGCCTCGCACACGCTGACCTGTAGGGCTGCTTCACAGAGCGAGGCGCAGCATTCCTCCTGTAAGGAGGGCTGTCCCACAGCCTGATGAGCCATCTTGCACCTGCCAAAACGTGATGCAGTCTTTTTAGAGCTGCATCGTCAGACCTTTGGAAAATCTAACTGTCTTAGAGCCTTTCTAGCAGAGTAACAGATGGGTTGTGCTTGTAATTGGGTAGCTGCATATGGTAGGCATGTCAGACTGTGAAAGAACTTAAAGCATTATTGCTCCATAAATGCTACTTTCTGATACTGTCTTTCTCCCATTTCTGGCAGTAAACTTTTGAAACTTCACTTGGACTATTCCTGAGAGACTCAAAACACACACACATGTTTTTAGGACGGAATTCAATTACCAGTGAAGACAAGGCGATGTCTTCCCTCGTTGCAGTTGCTTCAGACCCTCAAAGTGAATGTTGTCTGCTGAATGTAGAATGGATACTAATTTGGTCACATAAAACCTCAGATTGTTTCGGCTTTCCATGAATTTCTCAATGAAAAGAATGATCAAACCCAGTGATTCTACTCTCAGACACACTGGGGATATGAAAGAGCTGCTTGTCCAGCAGGCTGTATAGCCGAGCCGGTCTTTTGTTGCCTATGGCACACATACTTGGCTCCTTTTTACTCTCTTTTAATTTTAATGCTTTACAATGGAGCTGGACAAAGCCAAATTTACTTTTAAAGCACAACTTAATTTTGCAGAATCCATAGCTGTATGTTCATGCCCAGTTTTCTTTTGTGCTGCCTGCAGAACAACAGGGCTGTGTGGTATCTGACATGGGGCTTCTCCCAGTGATTTATTAACTGTGTCAGGATAGCTGTTGTGAATGCTGGGAAGCTCTTGTATATTGTGACAGTTGATATTGATTATGACAGTTTGTAGACCCTAGTGTGTTGTCAGACAGTGGGTTGTATTTTGTCTTCTTACTATACATACCATGGGCTGTAGATCATAGTGTTTTCTTCAAAAAAGGACCCATTGTCCAGAATGCTCCTTCGTTGCTGGTATGAGAGCACTTCTGTAGGGTATTGTGCAACAAACGGCAAAATAGTTGAGGCACCCTGTGGGACAGACAATCAAATGTCAATTGCTTTAGGAAAAAAAAAAAAAAGGTTAGTTTATTCTGCTTCTGTTCTTTCAGTGGAATGAGCTGTGCAGTTGTCAGAAGCGAGTAAACTGGTCTGAGTCTGTTATCTGTGAAAATAAAATGCATCCTGCATTACTCATTATCCAAAAGTCCACAGACCGTGCCAGTGGAGGAGGTTCAAAATAAGGATTTGCATTACTGATAAAGACTTTGGAACTTCATGGAAGCTGAAATGTTTCTAGAATGAGTCTGAGGAAGAGGAGAAAAGCATTTCTGCAAACTTGGGAGAAAGCAAATCTGGCATGTGCACTGCTGGGATGGGCGCCTTGGAGAGGTCACACCAATTAATGAGCTCTTCTTACTGTTTGCTTTTAGCTAGGCAGCAGTAAAGTAGCACACAGGAGAGAAGATCTTTCTGTTTTGCCTAAAAACTGCTTCAGTGTAAAAAAAAAACAACTGAAAAGCAAACAAGGTGAGCTGAGCTTTTGCAGACACTGTGATTGGGAGGATGGAGTCAAAAGCCATTTTGTTAATTATGCTGTTGTAATTTACTATATTGCTACTGTATTACTGGGAAAAAGCTACCAATAATATGTTTGTTTTTAAAACATAGAGCACTTAAGGTACAGCGTTGACTGTGAACAAGAAAGGAGCCGTTCTGATTTTTTTGTTCTTGAAGCACCATTTATATGAGACCATAATGGATCATAAATACACACTTTCAGATGATAATCAGTGGGAATACGACCCAGCAGCAATCTGTGCTATTAGAATTTTGACCTCACTGTGGTTTCACATTGATTCAAGTGCAGTTTCTGCTGTGGTTTTATATTAATTCAAAATCCATTTCCATACATACCTTATGGTTTGATTGAAACAAATGCAGTATCATTGTTATTTCAGGGATACTTTGGGCCAAGCTTGGACTTATGAAATCTGGATTCTGTTCTTAACACCCTTGTGGGGCTGAGTGTTGGCCATTCAAAGCAGTTCATTCCTCGTGGCATAATCTCATCTCCATTTTTAGTGATTTATTTACACTGTGAGATCTTTGAGAAGGAACAGTCTGGATTTCTCCAGGTTCTATGGATGCTGCTGTAATATAGCTGTTTTCTCTGTAATACTAGCTGTATTTTCTTAGTGAGTCTTTAATGTTAGCAGGAAACCTAAGTGGTTTGATTTTGGTGATGGTGCAATTTCCAATTGCGTGCTCACATTGAATTTGGATTAATTCTGCCATTAATAATTATGTTTAGTAATGAAAGAATGCTCAGTGTTTTGTACATTTGTAGCATTGCTGTAAGCCTAGGAGTGTAGGAGTGTACTGAAATTTTACAGTGGCATCTCTCAGTCAGTGTCAGCTGTTAGTACTAGGCACGTATTTCTTGATTTATTGTAAAACATCCACAGCAGTGTCAGAAATGCTTTAAAAGAAGGAAAAATAGAATGCTTTTTATTACTGACTTTTTCTGATTTCCTATTTTTCCTATATTTCCTAGTTTTCTAAAAAAGGTATGAATTCAGATATTTAAACTTGAAGGTTTTCTTAGATGACTTTTATCTAAAGCTCAGGTAACAGTTCCCCATCTATGCCTAGTTCTTGCTCCTTAAGTCCAAGGCAGCTCTTGGAGACGATAATTTTAGTGTTGTGCTGTGAAAATCAACAGGTCCCCAGCAATGCTTATAGACTAGCTGTAATTTGTATGTAAGTTCCTGTTAGTGGCTACTGAGAGTCCACCTGGCCATCGCAGGGCTGTTGAGCTGTCTGCTCACTGGCTCTTGCTGTTTTTTGCCTGGCAAATTCTCTGTATGTACTGAGTTCTTTCAGATCTTTGATTTGCCATCCTTAAGCGATTTCATTTTATTTTCCTTACTAAAGGCATTGGCTTTCACTGCAGGAGGTGGATGCATTTCCCTCTCGCATCCCGGCGTCCTCAACAGGCCTGTTTAATTTCTCGAGGGCTGCAGGAACACCCCTGTCCATAAACTGAAACCTGGTCCCTGATGTCTGTCACATTTCTCTTTTCCCTTCAGACGGCGTCCACAGCGTTACGGCTGTTTGCACCCTGCGCGTCACCATCATCACAGACGACATGCTCACCAACAGCATCACGGTGCGGCTGGAGAACATGTCCCAGGAGAGGTTCCTTTCTCCTCTTCTCTCCCTGTTTGTCGAGGGGGTGGCAACAGTGCTCTCCACCACCAAGGACGGCATCTTCGTTTTCAACATCCAAAATGACACAGATGTCAGCTCCAATATCCTGAACGTGACGTTCTCAGCTCTGCTCCCCGGTGGCATTCGCAACAAGTTCTTCCCCTCTGAGGACCTGCAGGAGCAGATCTACCTCAATAGGACGCTGCTGACCATGATCTCCACGCAGAGGGTGCTGCCTTTCGATGACAACATCTGCTTGCGCGAGCCCTGTGAGAACTACATGAAGTGTGTCTCCGTCCTCAAGTTTGACAGCTCGGCCCCATTCATCAGCTCCAACACTGTCCTGTTCCGCCCCATCCACCCCATCAATGGCCTGCGGTGCCGCTGCCCACCTGGCTTCACCGGCGATTACTGCGAGACCGAGATCGACCTGTGCTACTCCAACCCATGCGGCAGCAATGGGCTGTGCCGCAGCCGAGAAGGGGGCTACACTTGCGAGTGCTACGAGGACTACACTGGTATGTGTTTATCTTATCTTTGACCCATGATTTATAGGTTGGAACATCAAGCAGGCCGGCTCTATATCAATCTGAAATTGCTGACATTCTTAGTCAAAGGGAGAAAAACTCCTGACAGAGCTTTCTGGTAGAGGGAAGGCTTGTGTCACCTGTCACTTTGGGTGAAGTGTGCATCTCCAAGTCACGTGGTGACAGGAGCCATGCACTGCTCCAAGTCAGGGCGGGCGGACCAGCAGCTGCTGAAATGATTCCCATGTGCGAAGTTCATAGAATCGCTTGAGTTGGAAAGGACCTTTGAAGGTCATCCAGTCCAACTCTCCTGCAATGAATAGGGACACCTACAGCTGGAGCAGGTTGCTCAGAGCCCTGTCCATTCTAATCTTCAGTGTTTCCAGAGATGGGGCATCCACCATCTCCCTGGGAAACGTGTTCTACTGCTTCGCTACCTTTATTGCAAAAAACTTCTTCCTTACACCCAATCTAAATCTCTCCTCTTTTAGTTTGTAACCGTTTCCCCTTTGTCCTCTCACAACAGACCCTTCTCAAGAGTCTCTCCCCTTCTTTCCTATAGCCTCTCTATAGATACTGAAATTTATACTCAGAACAAGACATACAAATGCATGTAACCTAAATACCTGGAAGGAACAAGGTGGGCCACACCCCCTGGTCCATGGTTTCTCATGGTGACTCCTTCCTGCCCCCTCAGCAGTGCCCACCAGGGCATGGAGGGAGTGTGCAGCCTCAGTGAGGTCACTAGGCCCCAGGACAGGCTAGGGACAAAGGATACCTCGTGGTGCCCAGAAACCGCAGCAATACACATTTATGGGAAAAGCTGTGAGTCAGCTTCAGTTTGTAAATATCCGTATAAATGCTTCTTCCCAGCTTGGGTCCAGTGGCCTGTTGAGGAATGTACTTTGCCTCATCATGGTCTTGACAGCTAATAAAGATCAAAGTACTGCTTCTCAACTATTTCTGAGATGTTATGGAAGAACATTAGCTGAATGTTTTCTGGTGCTTCTGGAAAGTCGGTGGGATTATTTTAGTGTTTGAAATTGCAAAGGCATGTGCACATTCTGCAATGACATGCTGCTTGCCTGCAATTGCTGCTAATGGCTCAGCTGTGTCTGTTGTGACCCCCACAAATGAGAGATATGGCAGAGGGGACTGCTCCCAGAACTGCTTCTCACTTCTGAAATTAAAAAAAAAATTGAAAATATCAATTATTTAAGCCTCCATATAAAATAATTTGCATGATGTGAATGCCTACTGAGCTGGATGCAGCCCTCTAGGTAGAAGGGTTTTCCTTCAGTTTACATGGCTGTTGGCTCAGGGCTGTCATTAAAAATGCAATGGTGAAAGGAGCCAGCAGTCAGTGAGCAGGGACACAGCAGCAGCATGGGAACTGGGCAGCACATGGTGTGGAGGAGGTGCTCCCTGATATCAGAGGGGCTCAAGGTAGCCACCTTCCTTCCCCTGGGTAGGGGACAGGCCTTTTGCTTGACTAGTGAAACTTTGAATCAGGTTGTGATGGCTGGGATATCTGGTCTTCACTGAAGAGGGCTTTTCTTAAAGGCTGCTTTTGTGTCTCTTACACAGTGAAATGCATTATAAAGCCCTTTTTCTATGCATGGAGATGATGCTTGATATGTGAAACATTGGACACCACTAAATAGGTTTTGTGACCAATTATTACATAAATATGTTAAATGAAATTATTATAGTATTAATAGGAATGGTTAGAAGTAGAAGTTTCATTAAACAAAGATATGCATATAAATAGACTTAATTCATTCACGAGTGAATGTCTTGGAAGGTTGAAACGACATAGGTTCCTGTATCAGATTTTGAGGGTCTTTTCCTGGAAATCTTGAGAACAGAAAGATTAAATATACTTAAAAAGGAAAGAGGAAAATTTTATATTAATAATTAATGAATGTATTTAAAAATTAATACTGCAGTCATAACAGCCACAGTGCATATTTAGAAGAGAAACACCATATTATTCATACACAAAAGAAGATTTAACTTTAACTGCACTTTCAGTGCATGTTTGTTGAGTTCAAAGATAACTGTCCTACTGCCACGATGCTGGAGGGATCAGAAGTCAAGGAGTGAGCTCTGCCTGCGCCCACACCATCTTTAGGGCCCAGAAGTAACCACGATTCAATGAAACACTTCATTGTTTGAAACAACAATTTGGATTTCAGTCACCGGCAGGTCAGCCAGGGGAAAGGGAAATAACCCATCCCTGCTCAAGAGGGCCCTGGAATCCCTTATCCTGTAAATTGATACAAATATTGAATATCGGTTTTATTGCTGAAAAAAAAAAATTCAGTATCTGCTCTGTGGCTGGTTTGTGCAACATGAGTGCTTTTAGGCTCAGTGTTTATGACAACATTTTTTCCATCAGAGCTGACACACTTACCCACATGTGGTGGTCATTAGTTGCTTATCTCTCAATCCAGCAATGAGAGGTCAAAAATGTTATCTACAAGCAACGTAGTACCAAAAATATTTTACAAAGTACTTGATCCATTACTGCATCTTATCCCAATCTCCTTTAAGAACTGTGTCATTTTACCTACAATTTTTATTCCTTCTTTAAATACTAGACCATGATCTAGTAATCAGAATACTGCATTTTCTTCTTTGCAACAATATTCCTTCTTTGCAACAATGCAGATTCGATATCTGTTTAATATTTAAACAACATAGGTTTGATTCAAGAACAGCAATGTGAATTGGTTCTCGTAATGCACTAAATGGGAATAGCAGAGTAGAATTTGGCTGATGGCATGGACAGAGAAGTGCAAAGCTGGGAGATGCTGGCGTTACGAAGTATTACCATGGGATTAACTCAGTGTAGTAATGTACTGGTATGAGGTACTTACGAATCTTTGGGATAACTGTAGAGGATGAAATATTAATGGTAACAGTCAATGAAATGCAGCCTGCTCTGGGGACTCTCATGTTTCATTTTCCCAATTAAGAGCTATGTAGAAAAATAATTACAAGAAAATACTAAGATCTATCATCTCCTTAGTAAGATATACTGCAAGTTGATGATAAATCACTACACAATCATAAGCCTGTACTAAATCTATCAGACTGGTCACCTGTTAAAAACACAGCATTTATTTCCTGTAGCAGATAATTATGTCCTAACGTAATCAGATGGAATTTCCTCCCATTTTTCCACCCTGCTTTGAAGCCCTCCATTTGTTTTGATGTAATTGTTAGTCATTTATACACGATGAAAGTTCCTCTGTCTTCAGGAGTCTTCTGTTACTTGCACGAAGGTAAGCTGAGCTCTCATAAGGTATTTTTGAAACCTGAATACTGGCTAGTTTTTGGTGAGTTGAAATTAGCTTCACTTCCTGCGATGCGAGGAGGTGAGTGGACAAGGACATACATTTCCAGTCGTGTTTTTCAGAATAGCGACCTCTTTAAGTTCTGTTATTTGTGTACTGACCCATGCACAGAAGTGGACAGTGTGCACTAACAATGCTGCTATTGATGGCAGGGAGCTCTGTGCCTGACTAAAGGGTTAAAGGACATCATTTATGCTAAACAAACACATGTAATGAAGTCAAACACTGGGGAAAGCCTGCTCAGTTTTTCTGGCTACGTTTTGTGTATCTCTGAGTGCTGCAGAAGAAGTTGAACCCACTACAGGGGAATTGTGCTTAGGCAGAGCAATGTCTGCACTGCTCAGGGGTGAACTTCTGAAGGATGGAGTATTAATGCGATTCACACATGGCATGGTTGCTATGGCAGTTCCCTGCTGAGCTGTACATCCAGCCACGTCTTGGTGCCTCCAATGGGACTTATCCTATCAGTTGGTTGCAATTGCTGCAGTTCCTCGGCAGCCAGCAGTCCTTCTGCTCAGCAGCAGCCCCAGCATTCTTCTCTGTGATCTCACTCCCCCACAAAAAAATCAAATTTTCACAGACCAAAAACACTTCAAAGGGAGAAAAAAAAAATATATCCTGAGATAACGAAGAGATTTAATGTTCCCACAGTTCTCCTTAACCTCCTTAGCTACGTCTCCTGTAGCACGGAGCAATTGCAAGGGAAAAAAAACGTTGCAAGAGAATTTCCCATATCCTCAGCATCTCTCCTTGGATTTCACTTCAGAGAGGGGAGAAATCTTAAGTGGTCATAAATCTTCCAGTAATCAAATACAGCAATTAGAGAACTTCTATGCTTTTTTAGTCCTAATATATTTTTGTGATACCATATTGACATATGAAATCTTGCCATCTAACTTCACCTCTGTGAATTCTCACTGTGTGCCATGAGAATGTAATTATAGCTGTTTTCGCAGGGTGGTACCAAAATGCTCTATTCATGTTGTTTGGTAAGCTCTCGGTGCTTGGCTCTTTCAAACAACATCTAGCAATAAAAGAAAATGTGAAGATCTGCTTCTTTGGTATCTTAACTTATATCCATCCTTTAGATAGTAGTTTCACTGCTTGGACTGATACTAGATTCTCATTTTTCAGGCCAGAGAGATTTATCGGGAAGAATTTCAGCTTTCAAGTACAGAAATCTGGCAGCCAGGGTAGCTGTAATGAGCATTTTATCTTGGGTGAGAGTGTCTGAAATTCCATTCTTGGTTACACTTCTGCAGTTCCACTCAAGCCCTGCACCTGTAGGTGTGTAACAGCAGAATCTTGTACAGCATATCTCAATATGAGACATTTAGACATCTTTAACTCTTAGGCCACGGTTTTGCCATGGCAAAACTGAACAAAGCTTATCATCGCCAGGCTGTGGGGCATCGCCAGCACTGTCAGACCTTTGTCTTGAGCACAAAACAGCAAGCAGTGAATTTTGTTCTTCCCAAACACTCTTCTTAAATGTAGGGATGTTGTCCACAGTATGGGAGAGCTTTATGGATTGTCTCTCTGTGGTACCTAATTCAAATGTTATGGCAGTGAAGTTACTGAAGTACTTTGTACTGGTGCTAACTAAACAGTGTCCCTTAGTTGTGGTTT